TCACACCCTCGCTGTATAACAAAAGCCAAGACAAAACAATCAGCTTGTAGTGACATAAAGACCATGCTGACAGATGAGATTTTATTTTTTCAAAATATCACCAGTGCTCTATAAAATACTAGGCCATTCATAATTTCCCCTTGTTTACGTTTCACTATATTGCACTTTTCTTGTGGCAGTATGACAGGTCAGTTATCTCATCTGGCCTTAGATCATGTCTGTATGTGATTACATTTCGGACCAGTGTTGACATCCTAGCCTTTGTAATTACAGTGTGTGATGTACTATGATATTATATTCACTGTTTGTTGATTTGTATATAATGATTTACACCCATTTAAAAACAAAATATTTCAAAACAACAACAACAATGGTTACAAATCGGTGCTTATCAGGCCCAAGGATTTTTACTTTGTTATGGAAATATCAGGGTGTAGATGAGTAACATCCTCTAAGATCACTCACGTCATCAAGTGTCAGATGATTACAGTCTCTTTTAAGGACTGTGATATCCTCAGTTCACCCTGTCATATTGGTCTACAGTCACCGTGATAAGCTAAGCCAGATAGGATTCAGTCCTGTTAAAAAGCTCTTCTGTTTTATGAGATTCCTTAAGGACTTGAACCGATGATGAACTCTTAAAACCCCACTGACATACGCAGACTGATTTGCATGTGTATTTAGGTTAGTGATAAACTAAACATTTTAAAGAGTGACAAATACTGTATTTATCTAAACAATAGGTAAATATATTTATAATGTTGCATAAGTTATTCTTTCTGGTTCTGATCATAACTAAAATGTTAAGTAATTAACAACATTTAGTTTGTTGTATCCTGAGATGTATTTATTGTTTAGACAAATCAATATATTTTACAGTTACCGAAACATAATATATTAATTTGATTTCAATGTGAAATTTTGAAAGATTTTTTTAACAAATATTTCTCCAGCAGATAGCAGCATCTTTGTTTTTATTTTCCATGTGTTAGTAAGGAGATAATGTATGTATGTGGACAAAGACACCCAAAGTACTCAGGATAGATAAGATTATTACACCATGGTTAAATCAACAATTTAAAGGACCAGTTTATTATACACATTAATTGGTTTAAACATTACAAAGTATTTATGTTTATAAAATTGCATCTATTTGTTTATTTATTTAATAATAAAAAATGCATTCATCCATTCATACTTTCTTTTGCATTAATGTTTTTATTGAATTTCAATGGATGGGAGAGTATTAAAAATATCTTCATTTGTGTTTCAAAGATGAAATATATTCTTATGGGTTTGGAACAACATTAGTGGTGATAATAGAGTAATTTCTATTTTTGAGTGAACTATCCCATAAGTCTACTCACCTGTTACTTAACTGATTATCAATAAAGCTCCTACATGGGTTCACCGACCATCTGCGTGTGTGTTGCCTAAAACTAGACCACAATCATGGGTCCAGCAGGGGCAGATCATCATCTCCGCCCTGACACTATGGAAACACTGGTCAGTCAGCTTTACCAGACTCTCGTTATCATTAACTTCAACTTCTGCTTCGCAAAGAGACAATGACATTTAATGAAAGTCACTTTTGGTGTCCCACAAGGTTCAGTACTAGGCCCCACATTGTTTGTAAAATGCTTAAAGTAATTAAAATTGTGCTGTTTGCTGATGACATGAATTTATACTGTTCAGGGAAAAATTTGGAACAGCTTCTGAATACAGTGGAAATCGGATTTTAGTCTTAAAAAGGTGGTTTGATGATAATCAAAGTTCATAATATTTAGTAATCGGCTAAGTAATAAAAAAAAGCTAAAATTAGGATTAATAATGAAGACACAGAAAGAGTGTATGAGAATACATTTCTGGGTGTTACAGTAGATTATAAATTATGTTCATAGTTCCATACATGATTTGTTGTGTGGAGGTATGGGCTCATACATATAAAACCAACTTAAATCCAAAATATATATGTTACAGAAGAGAGCAATACGGATTGTAAAGAACAAAGGAAACAGTGATGAAATAGGAAAGCAAGGAGAAACAAACGAAAAGTCCTTGAAACAGAACTGTAAAAAATTATAAGGATGTGGAAGATCTTAAAGGGGTCCTATTATGCTTTTTCACTTTTTCAACTTTAGTTAGTCTGTAATGTTGCTGTTTGAGCATAAAAAAAGATCTGCAAAGTTACAAAGCTCAAAGTTCATTTCAAAAGGAGAATACATTTTATTTAACAGAAATCACTTTTCAAAAACTACAACGAACGACTCGTTTGGACTACAATGCATATTTTCAACGTGATATCACAAATACCGACGAATGGGACGAGACCTGGTTGAGCTGCACTAGAGAAGACAACGAGTGTTATCACTATGTCAGAGACACGCTAGCTTTCCCAAGACAGACGAACTTAGAGTGGTTACAATCATCCGGGTTTAAATCGCAATCAAATTGATTTGATAATGATGCAATATTTACACTGAAGCTCGCAGGCAGCTATGGTAAGGGGCATGACATTTCCCGACCAGGCGCCGAGTGCTGCCAATCACAACACACACTGGCCCAGCTAACCAATCACAACAAATTTTATATTTCAGAAGGCGGGCCTTCATTTGATACAGGAACTATTCGAGCCGTTCATGCCAGATTGGGGAGAGAGGTGTTGTAATAATGTAAAATATGTGAAAAATAATGTGTTTTTCGAACAACCTAGTATGAGAGCCTGTTCTAGTACACCCCAAAACAAAATCAAGACTTTGTAAAAGAGCATAATAGGACCCCTTTAATGAAGATGTTTATTGCAGCATAGCTGTAACAAATTACTTGTATTACCTTGGGTTCAGTGGAGTTGAAATAAACCCTGAACATCTTAAACTCAAATATTTTATGCATTTTACTACCCTTAATGCAGATGAAGTTGCTCCTGTCGTAACAGCTGTGCTCTGTATGTTAATAAAGCTCAGACACCCCATTGTCTGAGATGGTTTGTTCCACACCCATTCCTATTCTACAACTGATGACCATTTGGTCCATCAGGATGTGATGATCCCAAATGGTGCAAAAACAACATAACTGTTGACTTTCTTCTTCTCTATTATGATTAAACCATTTTGGGAAATGAGTGTGTTCTAACATACATTGTGAAGTGGAATCTGGGTCGAGGCAGTTTGTAGTTTCTTACAGAACATAACCGTGCGTCTGACTGAGGCGCTCATGACAGGAACCTCTGGGATGACCATGAACATTTCCAGCAGGGTACATTTCAGAAGCCACATGGCTCAGTGGTTTCTTTTACTGCCTTATTTTGTTTTGTATGTTTGAGAATTAAGATTAGCCTTATTGCTTTGATGACGATCTGACCTTGTGACAAGCCAGCTTTGGTCCAGAGGCCAAATCAAATGGACAACACAGAGGAAACGCGTTGGAGCCATTGACGTGTGGGCAGTGCTACAGCCTGACTTGAGATCGTTTTGTTGCCATATCTCCTTTTTTCTCTTCCGATGGGGAATTTTAGATCATAAGTAAAATATTTCAAAAGGTATAAACACACAGCACTGAGGTATACACTGAAAACCCTAATAAGTTGACTGAACTAAACTGATTGAGTAAACTCGTTGCCTCAATTTAATTGAGTAATGGAGTTTCCCAAAACTTGCATATATAAGTTCATTAAATTTGGTGGTTTTGTAGACTATACTTATATCGTTAAGTTCACCAAACTTGGCGCTTATTTAATGTACTTAAACGATTATGTTCACTTAACTTGGTATTAATTTCCAAGTGTACTTATATATTTAAGTTCACTCAACTTGGAAATGTAACTGAAACTGTTGAATGATGTTCTTATTTTTGACTGCAAGACTTGATTGTTTAAGTAAAGACAACATTAGGGTTTACAGTGTATGAGGACTGACTATATGATAGTAAAGCTAAGCACAAGACCTCAAACCAATTGAAGAGACTGATTTTCTCCAATTCAATCTGCTGTTTTGGGTTGCTCTGCAGACAACAGCAAATAAAACTACAGCATTCTGTGCTGAAAGATGGGAGGGACATCTTATTATTACCTTAAACTTATAACAATTATCTGCAAGGCTGACTTTTATTAAGCAAGCCACTTGGCTCAGATGTTTCATTTTCCTGCATTGGTTGTATGATTCAGAATTACAACTGATCTGATCATTGCTAAAGTGAAGATCTTAAGTCATCTTTTAAGTCACACAGCATTACAAACAAGAGTATGAACAAGTTCAAACAAGTACTCACAAGGCATACGGTGCTCTAGGACCACAATGTACTGTGTGGAATTAGATAATCTCAGGAAACCTGGGGCCTTTATTGGCAAGAATTTGCACAGCAACTTCCAGTGGAGGTTTGGAATAACCTTTATAGAATACATATATTGAGATAAGAATTAGACCAGTCCTGAATAAACTGTTGACAACGATAGTTTGTCTGTTGAAAAACCATTTGTGTTCTGTGATTAACGGAGGTTGATGAGAGATGTTTAAAATTGAAAGAGAGAGCCTACAAAGCTGACCATGATCAAAAAAAAAAAAAATTAAAATTGTTTATTTGTTTTAATTCTAAGCACCTAGAGCATGTTTGACAGTTCAATCAGGCCTGACAGGCCAAGTGCTATAAATAGTGAACATCAATACACTAAAAGAGTGCTTGTAAAGGATAGAGCGACAGATAGTCTATAAGAAAGGGCAAAACAAGGCTGTAGATGTTGTAAATACAAGAAATTTAAACCTGAAGGTCATCAATAGTCAGTGTTTGAGAGAGAAAAAAAAAAGGTTCATACTTGTTTTAGTACATTAAAGCAGCGCTTTTCCAGAATCCACTTCTCTAAATCAATTAATAATATGGTTATTGGTTACCCTCTGACTCGCGTTGATGTCATTTCAGTTGGACTCGTGAATCAACTCAATGGAACCGATTCAGTGATTCGCGAAGCAATCACCAAGGAACAAGCAGTCCGTTGTCAGACCGGCGAGGTGAATGAAATGAGGAGAGGAGACTGTCTGTGTTAATACAGTAGTCTTGTGATTTAATGTTATCCGCGGTCATGTGAGTACAGTACCGGTTTAGGCTTGTATGTGAATGCTGTTATCTCGGCTAATAAATTTAACAGTCTTTTACATTGAGCAGGGAATTAGCTGATGAGCTAGTTAGCAGCCAAGCTAATGCTAATTTTGTAAGAATAACCCTCACTAGGCAAAGATGTCCGAATATAATATTGATTTATGTATTAATTTCAAGGTAAATTCACAATTGCAATACCGTTTTGCAAGACTTAAAACATTACGTGCGAAATATCTCGACAGCACGCGTGACATTATATTTTAATACAATAATTTTATATTTAATGTTTTTTTTGGCGTTACATAATATAGTTACGCATTGCCTGTTTGTTTTGTCGCCGTTCTCTATTAAAATGTAGGTCGTTTTAGAAAACATCTTCGTCATATATGTCAGTGTTTGTGTATATTCGGTTACTAATATTCTTATGAATGTTTAATCTGTTCATGTCTTTACTGAAGATGTCATAGTCATGAAAAGATTATGTGTTCATGATGGTTTGAACTGTTTGATAGTCAGTAGTTTTAGGGCACTGTCTGCTATCGTAACCACATTAAACAATATCACATTTGACTTGAGTGTGCTTGTGTCTTCCAGCAGATCAGGCTGCGGACCCCTCCATGGAAGAGGCCAGTGATGAGGGGCTATTACTCCAAGCTGGACTCCTCATCTCTGGGCATGGCGATGCCCCTGAACCTAGCCGTGGAGACTGAGAAAGCTCAGGCCCTGCTCCAGACCTTCAGCACTGCCTCTCTGTTAGCCAGCGCGGGCCTGGGTGCTTTCTGTTTCCTCGCCGACCACTTTCTGACGCTCCCCCTCATCCAGCACCATCTGTGGCTCAGGGCTGTGCTCGATAACGCCGTCCACGGCATCATTGGACTCTGGTCATGGGCCATCGTCATCGGGTTGAGGAAGAAAAGTGACTTCTATGAAGTCGTCTTGGCTGGATTTCTGGCTTCTATCATTGACCTGGACCACTTCTACATGGCTGGATCATTGTCACTCAAAGTGAGGCCTTTTAATTAATTTTATTAACATTTGAAAACTTTTTGTTTCGGCACATTAAAACGTCCGATACAATTCAAAAGGCAGGGTCAGAAATAAAGCAGTAAACCTATAGAGACAGTAATTATGGTGATTTTTCTTTTTTGAACTGTAATTACAATGCTAAAAATCAAAAACATGAGACAATACCTTTTTTTTTGTTTTTTTGCATTGCATTTAATATTTGAATCTAGAGATGCTTAATTGTTCTGAAAATAATGCATTTATTATTGTTATTATTATTATATGGTAGTATTTAAAAATATATATTTATATTTTATGTATATTTTATTTTTAAAACCTTTTTAGGGATGTAACGATTCACTCGACTCACGATTTGATTCGATTCACGATTTTGATTTCACGATTAGGGCTGTCACGATTATGAACTTTGGCTGACGATTAATTGTCTAAAAATAGGCACGGTTATTGCGATTAATTGTCTGTTTTAGGGCTTTGGCGATTATGACGATATCACGATTAATTGTCTGATTTTTATGGCTTTCATTATATAGTTGGGATTAATTTTAAGGGTTCAGTAAATAATGATGATGTTATCGTTTAATCTTTTTTGAGTTATTATTTCGCAGTGTAAGATTACATAGAGTATTCCAAATTCTAAAAATCGGCCAATTCAACACCAGCGCTATTTTTTTTCTACACCACTACAGAATATCAATACTGTGTTTGTGGAACTAATGGTCACTCTTTTAAACCCTTTGTTAAACGCAATCCACAAAATACTCACTTCCTCATTAAAGAGAAAAACTACATTTGAATAAAAATATATAAGCTATGAAATTAAACTAGCTGTCTGTATAATTTAGCAGCAAAAACAATATCTTGAAAAAAATCTTTTGTGCACATTATACAATTTAAACATGTTTATTCTGTTAACTATTTGTATTCTTACAAAATACATTCATGAAAATAAGATAGAAATCATGAGAAAAAGAAAGGCTTCTAATAATCTTTCTGTGTGCAAAATTTTGATATTGTGAAACGCTTCAAACAGAGCAGCACAAAGCGCTTATGCACATCTAGGGTGCAGAATGATGTGCTTGAAGCAACATGCGCTCCACACATACAAACAAAGAGAAGAGAAATGTAGGGCCCTATGAAACCCGTTTTATTTTTTCCTAAATTCCGTTTTATTTTTTTCCAAATTCAGTTTTTTCCGTTTGAATTTTTCTGGATTCTGTTTTTTTCCGTTTTAATTTTTCTTGACTCCTTTTTAATAGTTAAATACAATTGTATTAATTAAAAAGTATGTCTAATGAATTAAAATCATGAAACGTATACATGTTCACATCAATTTATTAAAAGTTTAACAAAAATTACATGTTTAGGGCCCTATGAAATGTTTTATTTTTTCTCACCATATTTTTTATTGTTACCAAATTCTGTATTTTAGTATGTCTAATTATTTGAATGCATAAAAACAACTTAATTAGCCTTATGAATTTTTTTTCCTCAGAAATTCTGTGTTATGTATTTAATTTTTTCTGGTTATCAAATGAAGGCATAAAAAATTATTTCATTTATCTTTTAATTATTGAAAATTAAGCAAACTTAATTTTTTGGCAAACAAAGGGGATTTACTATTACAATTAAAACATGGAATAAATGTGATTATTCCTTAAAAAAAAATGTTTGTTTCATTTTAGTAGTTGTAGTAGGCTATGTACTTTCTACTGAAAAATAGTAATAGGCACAATGTCTTCAAATCAAACCGGACTTTTATTTTGACGGGTTGCCCTGAATACCTTTACAGTTCTGTGTATGTGATATGACGCTAGTTTTACTCAAATCAAACGGTCAAATATAGTGGTCGACCGATATGGGTTTTTTGACAGCCGATACCGATGCCGATATCGCCGATATCTGGGTGGCCGATGGTCGATATAAAGCTGATATCATTTTATTTTAATTCGTATTTAAGAAATTTAAGAAATTTTGAAAATGGATTAAAAAATAATCGTGTAAAATAATCATACTTATACTCTAGAACAGTGGTTCTCAAACTTTTTACAGCGGCGTACCCCCTGGGGCATTTAACATTCTTCTGCGTACCCCCTCTCTTCCACTTAGACCGCAGTCACACCTTTTCTATTAAAGGACAATATTTGCACCCTTAAATTGATTTACAGGTGCATTTTTTACCTTTATAGAGGCAAATATTTTCTATCCTTAGTATGTCATGTTTTATGTCATATTCTTAACATTTCATTAAGTGTATTATTAATATAATAAATAAAGCAATAAATGATGGCAAATCGAAGTGATACTTGTAGATTTAAAAATAAAAC